GGGCAACACCAAACAACAGATATTATGCAATTGAAATCATCAGATTCATAGTAAAATCGTTAATGTTCTGCGCGCCATTGAAAATGTATTAGAGTGATACTGGGTAAATATTCTGCAGTACCTATACGAAAGTTAATAAGCCCTGTTCGGCCCTTGTCCACCCCAGAGTTCCTGGGGGGTGGATCATTAACTACCCCCTATTGAAAACGGTGAGTTATTATGTAGGCATAATAAACATAATAAAAATATCAATAACTTTTATTCAATTTGTTTTGCGGATATGAAACGTTAACAGGAAAAGGTTAGATTTACATAATTAAAAGAAAGAAATCATAAATAAATTAGAATAAAATCGGTGATAACAAGTTATAAAATAGGAAACACAGAAAATAGAACATAGTAAAATGGAAGAATAGAAAACGTGTTCAGCGTGAATACACATGGTGTTCCTTAATGATATGCGAATATTTCAGGGTGTGAATCTACATGAAAAATTATTGTTAGTTTGCTTTATAAACTATGGTCCAAAACTGTTTCCTTACAAAAACTCGGGGTGTTGAAGTTTTAGGAAAAAAATGGAAATTAATTAATATTTTCAGGACCGCTTCAGATATTTCACTGATATTTGGTATGTAGTGAAAGTTAATAAAACTGCATATTTTTCAATGAAAAAATAATTTATAGCTTTAACAGTGGCGTGCGTACGGGTAGTGACATCGATATCTTTTAAGAAAAAAATAGTACGCCAATGGTTTTTTGCCAAATAAAATTTATTTTTGAATTCCCCGTTCAATTTAAAACAAACGATCTTCCTTGAGCTGTTTTCCTCTGATGCGCCATTTTTGAGTAAAAAAATAAAAACCGTTCTATTGTCCGAGAAAATTAATGAAATAATAATTGATGAATGTATACTAAGTGACATATAAATCCGAACACCCAGTTTAAATGGTTTTATTTTAATAAAAGTTGGTGAATGTATTTATCTTACTGTAAATAACAAGTGAAAAAATTTTCAGCCTTATCAGTTGGACATTCCGGTTTTTATACTGCTTTTTTTTAAATCACTAACGCTCTAAAAATGAATATTTCAGCCGCAGTAAAGAATCAACGTTGGCAGATTTTGGTTCTTGACATCCTTTACGATCGGTTACGATGCCTAGAGTACGGAGACCTGTACGATTTCGTCAACTTAGTGAGTTTGATAGGAGCCGTATAGTGGGACTTCGGGAAGCTGGACTTTCTTTTCGGGCAATTGCAGTTAGAGTGCAAAAAGTATAGACACTGTGGTTAGGTGTTGTCAGGCATGGCTTCGAGAAGGCCGTACGCAAAGAGCAAGGGGCACTGGACGCTGCCGTAGAACAACAGACCGTGAAGATCGCCGCCTAAGATTATTGGCCTTAAGGGACCGTTTCTCCACTACCAGATCGATTGCAAATGAATGGTTTGCAGAACACGGAAGACCTATTGGCATGCGAAGTGTTTACCGACGAATGAGAAGTTTTGGCTTGTTTTCATACCGGCCACACTGGGTCCTCCCTTTAACTCGAGAACACCGACGTAATCGCCTTGAGTGGTGCAGACAACGGTCACTCTGGGATCAGGAATGGAACAGTATTGTCTTTAGTGACGAGTCTCGATTTTGCTTAGGCATGCACGATGGTCGTGCCAGGGTTAGAAGGCGACGTGGTGAAAGGAGGAATCCACAGTTTTTTGTTGAAAGACATGTTCATCACACTGTTGGAGTTATGGTTTGGGGTGCTATAGCTTATGGTTCCAGGTTCCAGCATATCAGGGTGCATCCACACATTATTAAAGGTCAAAGGGCTTTAAAGCAGTGCAATCATTTTGAAATTTTTATCATTTACTTATTATGCTTCATTAAGTACCTAAACAAAATTTTATTAAAATAAAACCATTTAAACTGGGTGTTCGGATTTATATGTCACTTAGTATAATTTAGCAATAAATATCTAGTTGCTCTGGAATATGTCACTGGCTTTTGAAATCTGACAAGTCTATGTTGTTCAAATCTGTTCGCTGTGTCATCTTTTTCATTATTTAGTTTTTACAATCTTGTTAATAATGTAGAAATGGCGGAAATGTGTTACGTATATGGCCTCGCCGACGGTAATGGTGAGCAAGCCAGACGGATTTATCTCCAGAGATATCCCGATCGTGCTTTGCCAGATAGTTGAACCTTTTCTAATATTCATCGTCGTCTTGTTGAAACTGGTTCTGTCCGAAAAGGAAAATTCTAATTATTCTGGAGAGGAGAAACCTAGCTGTGACATATTCTCAAAGATGACGCTAAGGTATCTCATTCCATGTAGGATGATTTTTCAGGCTCGCGAATATTAGATTGACTCTGTTCAGGTATAATAGGTTAATCAGTGAAACAACTCACATTTTTGATTGACATTTTACCTAAAAATTGGCCATCGGTGGGGCCCTAATAATAGTCTACCTCCTCAGATGTGTGCATTATCTATGTCGCCTAGTGTATTTCATATTCGTATTCCGTGCAGGTTAACGAATTTTAAAAGTTGCGTTTCTGTGCTAACGTTGAAAGCTCCACATTACAAATCGCTTTTTTATGCGTAGCTCCCTCATTTATATTCAAAAAGAGTGGGCGAAGATAGAAACTATGAAGGAGCAATTCATATGAAATTAAATCCACTTTTCGGGCATATATGATTTGGATTTCGTTTATTGTGGCACGTGTTTAGAGCCCTATGATGTGTTCTTTGAACTCAAGATCTGATAAATAATTTGTTAATACCAAATATATAAACAATAACATGACAAACAAAAACATAATACAATGGAAACATAATTCACAAATTAGTGTTTTCATCACAAATGACAGAAAATGGAAAAATGTATAGACGTAGCATTAAAGCAGTGACTGGGGTTAAGAACCCAGAAGTTTAAAACAAAAATAAGGCACCATAATTCTATCACTCCATACCAGAGTCATTAAAAGTAATTAAATCAAATAGGTCATTTAAAAAAGAACTAAAAAAATGGACTTTACAACAACCAAGGTGCTCCATCCACGAAATTGTAGATATGAAAAATCATTATTAATATCAATAATATTTTGCTTACACTTACATCCATACTTTTACTTAAGTTATAATTGTCTGTATATTTTTCCTGACATCACCATAATAATTCAATTCACCAAATTATACAGTATTAACGTTTCTTTTTTCATACACTGACTGTACTTTTAGTTTTTATTTTTAACAAACCCAAACACAATTGCAAACTTTTTTGGGCGCTTTATGTTTATTGTGTACAATATTTAATATTTACCTGTATTTTGTGACAACAAACATTATTATTATTAGGTCACTGAAACCGTTTTTTTAAAAATCCGTCTAAACCTAAACCATCTTAAAGATATTTTAACAGTCACAAGGTTCTGAAAAAATGTACACACTTTTACATATTTGCTGACTTGGTATTATTACAGGGTAATGGATATCGTAGAGTAGCCCAAATTATAAGGTTTTATACATGGTATTCCATTATATCTTTTTTAATAATGAAATTGTAGTATTTTTATTTCAAGGAAAGCTTAAAAATGCGCTTGAAAATCTTAATGGTGTTTAAGATATTTAGCGTCTCTATACGCATCCAGATAACCATATATGAAGCACAGCCTTTCTTTTCTATTGAAAAATATTCTACGTCTTAAAGAGCTAAACAAATACAAGGATGTTGTAAAAGAAGGTGGCAAAGTCTCCATTAAACAAGATTATTTTAACAGTATTGTGTATCTATATGCATTCTCCAGAAGTTTGTTAATATATACACATTATTAAGAGGACCTTATCAATCATTTATATGCAAATTGTTTGTTTATTCTATATGAACACTTTAAGAGCAGCTGCGTATACAAATTAGTGTAAGATAAAATGTCGTGTGCACTGATATCTTATATTCAATATGCAAATATGTCGAAAAATGTCTTCCTTTTAAAATACAGTTCATAGTTTTTTTCATTTAATTAACCAACAACGGCTTGCTCAAACATATTTTATGTAGTATTTTTATTACGCCAGGCTTCTAAATAAGAAGCAAATGTAAGCCACAGTTTTGTCAGGTATGAGTACATGTTTTGATGTTATGTCCATGAAATTATCCAAGGCATCCTTGCCGAAAATTCAAGGTCAAATGGATGGACTATTAATCTTATCAAAAATAAAAAAATGTACTAAAAATATTGCTATATTTTGACGGATTTATTTTTTATGTTCATTTTATGTGATTCTGGTATGCATATTATTAATTAAGTTACCATTATATTTCCTTGTAATTCCATGGGAAATTATGTATGAATAAATGAAAATAAATAAATGAAATATAAAAGAAATTTCGAAAAATCTTCGGAACAGTTTGAAAAAATTTATGACGAATTGTAAATGTTTTTAACAGGTACAAATTAATTTCTGACGTTTTAAAGACAATTTAGAATTGGTTTTTTATCAAGCACTTTAATGCCGCTAACGAAGATTTTTTATCTTGTTCTAACTTGAGGAATCAAATATTTTGTTCGTTATAATTCACAAAATATGCCTAAAATTCAATATTTTCTCGATAATGGCAATGAAACTGTTATTTAAAAGCTACTTAAGTTATATTTACTTATGATGGAGAATATAATTATGTATCTTAAAAATGTTAAATGCGAAATTGAAGCAAGTGACATGGGAATATAATTTTATATTTAATTTTCAGTAATAAGCAATAAGAAGCATCCTTCAAAATTCATTTATTTGTGAATGGCATAGTATTTATTAATTCCTGAAAAATTCAAATTATTCTAGAAATGTCTGATTCAAATATGATCTTCATAGAATGGAAAACAAACAATTTTCACAATACAATATTTTTAATATATTTTTCAGTAATGTGAAAAATGCATTTCTAACATTTACATTTTTTTTAATAAATATCCTCTCCGATAAGTAAAAAAAAAACAGAAAACTCACTTTTGCTGATTTTGTACCGAAATTCCATCTTCATCTTTCCGGCTGTCCGTTCGTGTTGCTTCAGTCGCACTATCGTCGAACTTCACAGGGTACTCTTCGGTACCGCCAAACACAAAACGCAACAAATCGCCCGATAAAGCGCGCGTAGTACTCAAGTCGTACTCTTCCTGAGAATATCAAGAATCCACCCGCCACCCGAGAGCCGGTCTGTTTTAAGGCGGCTGATAAGAACGACTCGGAGTCGGAGGTGGGGGTACCGCCTGTTGGTGCGACTGGCTAAGCTCGGAGCCGCGAAGGTGGTTCGAGGTGCATCTCGACAGGTGACGGCTCCGGTGACGTGCGAACTGCTCCGGGCGGGCGCCCGCAAAAATACAGCCGACTTGATCTTCTTTGCGTCTGGAACGGAGAATGCTTAATTGAATAAATCTGTAGCGTATCGAAATGTTTGCGTAAAGAAATACTCATCAAATGTGGCATCCCACAGCATACCGTTTCACGTCCACTGCTTTCCAATATCCAATAAAATCTGAAGCCGGAAACCGGGGATAGGGCAAGTCATAATAGTTATCAGGGAAATAATAATAATAAACATCCTTATTAACTACTATATATAATACATATATATACTAAGTGACATATAAATCCGAACACCCAGTTTAAATGGTTTTATTTTAATAAAAGTTGGTGAATGTTTTTATCTTACTGTAAATAACAAGTGAAATATATATACTGTTTTTTTTTAATTCACTAACGCTCTAAAAATGAATATTTCAGCCGCAGTAAAGAATCAACGTTGGCGGATTTTGGTTCTTGACATCCTTTACGATCGGTTACGATGCCTAGAGTACGGAGACCTGTACGATTTCGTCAACTTAGTGAGTTTGATAGGGGCCGTATAGTGGGACTTCGGGAAGCTGGACTTTCTTTTCGGGCAATTGCAGTTAGAGTGCAAAGAAGTGTAGACACTGTGGTTAGGTGTTGTCAGGCATGGCTTCGAGAAGGCCGTACGCAAAGAGCAAGGGGCACTGGACGCCGCCGTAGAACAACAGACCGTGAAGGTCGCCGCCTAAGATTATTGGCCTTAAGGGACCGTTTCTCCACTACCAGGTCCATTGCAAATGAATGGTTTGCAGAACACGGAAGACCTATTGGCATGCGAAGTGTTTACCGACGAATGAGAAGGTTTGGCTTGTTTTCATACCGGCCACACTGGGTCCTCCCTTTAACTCGAGAACACCGACGTAATCGCCTTGAGTGGTGCAGTTAACGGTCACTCTGGGATCAGGAATGGAACAGTATTGTCTTTAGTGACGAGTCTCGATTTTCTTTAGGCGAAGGTCGTGCCAGGGTTAGAAGGCGACGTGGTGAAAGGAGGAATCCACAGTTTTTTGTTGAAAGACATGTTCATCACACTGTTGGAGTTATGGTTTGGGGTGCTATAGCTTATGGTTCCAGGTCCTTTAATCTTCATCAGAGGTAACATGAACGCGCAGCGTTATATCCACGAAGTTCTAGAACCCCATCTTTTACCCTATCTTGACACCCTGGCAGATCCAACTTTCCAACAAGATAATGCCCGACCACATGTTGCAAGAGTCACAATAGACTTCTTTCAACATAATGATGTCACGTTGTTACCATGGCCACCAAGATCTCCCGACTTATCCCCAATTGAGCACGTGTGGGATATGATGGGTAGGAGATTGCTCAATTTGCAACGTCCTTCTCAGACTCTAGAAGCACTTCGAGAGGAGTTGGTGGTTGCCTGGAATGAGATACCACAGGAGGACATTGACCACCTGATCAGAAGCATGCCTAGGCGCGATGGAGAATGCGTAGCACATCAGGGTGCATCCACACATTATTAAAGGTCAAAGGGCTTTAAAGCAGTGCAATCATTTTGAAATTTTTATCATTTACTTATTATGCTTCATTAAGTACTTATACAAAATTTTATTAAAATAAAACCATTTAAACTGGGTGTTCGGATTTATATGTCACTTAGTATATTTGCATAGACTATCAATATCTGCTTGTAATACTTGGACAGTGCTCTGTATATCTTCTATACCGAAACAATGGGAGAGCTGGGTGTCATCAGCGAACCATTGAAGATCAGAGTTGTAAACTGATCTAGATAAGTCAAATGTATATATTAAAAACAAAAGAGGTCCCAAAATGGAACCCTGAGGCACTCCTGAAGGTATGCGAGTGACATCAACTGTAATACCCTTCACATAAACACTTTGAGTCCTGTTTTTTAAGATCGCTTTCAAAAAAGTTAAGCTAAGTCACTTAGAAAATATTCCTCGTTGAAACATTTGAAGTTCCTTACAATTACAAACCTTTGTTTATTTTTCAAATCAGGAATGGAGAGAGTGCACGATACCATTTTGTGCGTTAGAATCGAGAACCAAACAGTCGGAAATAATACTGGATCTAATGAGGATGCTGTGTTACTTGTCACTCTAGTAGGGTCACTTACAATTTGAGAAAAACCCACCATTTGAAAGCATGTAGTAAGGACGTTGTTGCCGCTGAAAATATCAACATTCATATTTCCTACAATAACAATGTTATCAAAATTGTTTGACATTAACGGTAACATGAGATCTAGAGCGCTGATGCAATCATTGAGGTTTTGTGGGGGTGGTCTATACAACACGCCCAAAAGCAAAACGTATCTATTTATTTTTATGCTGACCCACAGTTGTTCCAAGCAATTTCCAAAGTTGTTTGCAAAGTTAATAATTTCAACCTGAAGGTCAGTGGACTATATATATAGACTCCTACTCCGCCACCGCGGGCTCCCCTGTCACTACGGAACAGATTGTAATTATTGATACTCACCGCATCATTGGTAATGTCTTGGCTTAACCTCGTAAAAAATCTAAGCCGTGTATTTTTCATATTATAGGCTTAAAGAAAATCGGAAAACTCAACACCCTGTGATGGTCTTTCAGTACCCATTACAACAAATTTCAATCTCTTCTTAGACAGAGTGACACTTTTATTAATTAATGTATTTATTGATATTCACAATAAATGTTAAACTGCTTTCCTTCAACAACAATGCAGTCTTGACGTCTTCTTAAAAATAACTGGGCTTTCAGACGGGAGAATATTCCGTTATCAAGAAGTTTAGCTGACTAACTAAATAGGGAGTTAAAATTACAACTATGTGGTTTGCTAATCATTTCAAGGATATCTTATTATGACGCTATACAGGATATGCGAATATTTAAGGGTGTGAATCTTCAATAAAAATTAATGTTAGTTTGCCTAATAAACTATGGTCCAAAAATGTTTTCTTACAAAAACTCGGGGTTTTGAAGTTTTAGGAAGAAAATGGAAATTAATAAATATCTTCAGAACCGCTTTAGATATTTCACTGATATTTAGTAGGTAGTCAAAGTTAATAAAGTTGCATGGTTTTCAATGCAAAAATAATTTTTAGCTTTAACAGTGGCGTGCGTACGGGTATTGACTTTTTTAAGAAAAAAAATAGTACGATAATGGTTTTTTGCCAAATAAAAATTATTTTTGAATTTCCCGTTCAATTTTAAACAAATAATCACTCTTGAATTGTTTTCCTTTGATGCTCCATTTTTTAGTAAAAAAATAAAAACCGTTCTGTTGTCTAACTCGCAAAATTATTATTAATTTAATTGGAAAAATTGAACGCATTAGGGGTAATGAACAACAACAACTGACGACATAAACATAACATTAAAACCAACGAAATGATTACAAAAATTGTTGAGAATGGCCCCCTTCACTTAGTATGCTTGCTTCCGCCTTCCTTCTCATGGAATTGCGCACTCGTTGAAATACCCCTCGAGTGTTTTTTATTCTATCACAAGCTGTAACTATTCTTTCTTTTCATTCCTCTACAGTGTTAATGGGACTTGTGTACACCAGTGTCTTAAGATAGCCTCACAAAAAGAAATCTAAACTGTGACCTTGATGGCCATTCTTGGGGCCCACCGCTACCAATCCAACGATTTGGATAAACAGTTTGTAAATAATTACGAACCGCTACATTGAAATGCGCTGGCACACCATCATGCATGTACCACATATGAATGGCATTTCGAGAATTTCGATTCAAATTGCGGATTTTGTGTAATTTTTTGAAGATACCACTGACAAAAGGTCACACGCCTTGCAAAATAAATGGGAAGTAATGTGTGTGTACTCTTAAAATATGGTAAATTCAGATAGAATAAGGCTGACAAATCACTGAAGTTCCGTACCGTAGTTAGAAAACACTGTTCTCTCAAGAATAGCGCTTTAAACAGTGGATATAGTCTTTTTCTTCACTGCAACCCATTCACAGAGAAGTCTGACACTCGCAATGGGCGTGTGTGACCGTTGGATGTGAAACAGGTCCCTGCGGCATACCCATGTTCATATTCTGGTACGAAGAACAAAATAACCTGTTCTGAGATAGTGTTATGAATATTCCGATATGTTTTCTCCTATATGACCGAAAAACATAGTACTGACGTACATTCCAACAAACAATAGATTTAACGCTATAAAAGCTTCAACGTATTCAGATTTATTGACTCACATCTAATAAACAGGTTACTTAAGAAAATGGATTCGCTTTGATATTTGCGCTTATACCAAAGTAATCAAGAACGTACATTACACAAATTTGTACAAAATGTTTGTTATTGTGGGATACCTATAACTATCGATTGAAAATCCATTAAAAATAAAGACATAAACCTAAGGCAAACCATCACCTTAAGAGGAGCGGCTGAACGCGTCATGTATGAACAGTCGGAGAAACGTAAGAAATTGATGTGCTTAATGAATTTTTTAATGAAAGATCTGTTGCGGAATGGTGCAGTTTTGTACATTTAAATAGATGTAACGTTTGCAATTTTGTGTCAGTCTTGTCCTAAGCCCGTTACAAATTTCTCTAAGGTAGAGCCACGTTTCTCCACCTTGGTAAAAAGTGAATGTATGCGTTCATTCAGAGTGTATGCTCTATTTTCTTTGTCATTGAAAATATTTTCATGGACAACTATTGTGTAAATACGAATAGTTCTGGATATAATTTGTTGAGCGACATTAGCTCGTTCTGAATTACAAATTTTCACTTTTATACCGCACATAAAACAGTTCTGACATACCTATTGACACAAAAAACATCAGAGGTAGAACACAGACTGTAGTTTGTACTACTCGTAACAATTTCAGCGTTCATAATTCTTTGACGTACCTTCAGAGATAAAACTTCCTTCTGGATCGCCATAAGTGTTTTTCTCTTCTCGTGCTCAAAGCCTTGGGAATAAGAGTGTTGTCACTCTCATGGTCCATTGTTTGACGCATTTACTCGTAGCTCATGTATTTTACATCATTATAAAGAGAATTGAAAGACCTTTAAAATAAGGTAT